TGATGTACTCATTATATATGCAAGAAAAGGGCGAATAAATAAATGTAAATTCATATGATTCTTATTTTTTGCCATATGGGATGGGCTATTGTCTATGTATGCAGCCAGCTTGGTACAGGAAATTGATTTTGTAATTAAACTTATTCAAAATATAATTGCGATGCAGGCTATTTGGCTTAAGCGGTAAATTGCTTAAACGAAACCACCACAATAATAATAACTCACAATCAGGATGCTTGTCTATTATTAGCTCTAAATTATGATGTTTGCAGAAAAAAAGCTATTTGAGCGTTTAGAAAAAACAAAAAACAAATCCTGATTTGTCCACTCACACAATTCCATTTCAATGATTTTTATTTTTTGTATAGCCCTGATTCACAGCATCATAGAGAACTATTGTTTTCTGACAGACACCAAAGGCCTTTCTGAATTACTTAATGACAACGAGAGCAGAGGTAGGATCAAAAATGTGTCAATAAAACACTGCACCATAGAAATATACTCCATGAACTAATTCTATTTGGAAGAATAATTGGTAGAAATTCTGATTATAACATTTTAGTCAGAAATCTTATCTTTAGTCTTAGATAAGTTAATGTTTGCTATTTATTTACACATTTAAGACTTTTTTTTTTCCAGTCATGTTAAAAATAAATAAATCAATCAACCGACTTGTAGAGCGCATTTGCTACACAAGCAACACAAAGCGCCTCACAACCTTATCACATCAGACATTAATCATAACCATGACAGCCCCCTATTAAGAATGTAATTTATTTCTAAGTCAGAGTATTTGGCTTAACTTTGCAAAGAGCATGATATTGTAGCAGCTCGAGCTTCAGCCAGGGCAAACACTGCTACTAATTGTAATGATTTTTGATTTGGGCCGCTTGTCTAGTTTTGAGATCCAATTCATGTTTTCTCCAAAAGTCGCAATTTTCCCTTCATCAGAAGCCGGTCTATACCGCTTTGAGAGACATAGTTAGTTCCAAAATATGCCACTATAATTTTGGTCTGTCAACTCTCCAAATGTCCGGTGCTCAGTTCACAGACAAGCACTAGTCTGGGCACCAGTCTGGGCACCAGTCTGGGCACCAGTCTGGGCACCAGTCTAGGCACAAGTCTAGGCACCAATGGCACCAGTCTAGGCACCAGTCTGGGCACCAGTCTGGGCACCAGTGTGGGAGAATAGACCCTTATACACCAGCAGTCTGCTTGGATGTTTGCAGAAAATGGAGAGGATTGGACTGGGGCAACAGTTGTGTACGTACGGCAGATGGTGATTTTATGGTTCAGTGTGGCGGGAGATTGTGAGGGGCATGTTGATTTCAGGAGATCGAGATTTGGATTGAAAACACAGGAGCTGAGAGACTACTGAGAGAAACCAGAGAGAGAAACTATAGAGAAAGACCAGAGAGAGAGAACAGAGAGAGAACAGAGAGAGAGAGAGACTAGAGAGACCATAGAGAGATCAGAGAGAGAGAGACCAAATAGACCATAGAGAGATCAGAGAGAGAGACCAGACAGTGACATGAGAGAGACCAGAGAGAGAGTCTAGAGAGACCATAGAGAGATCAGAGAGAGCGATCAGGCAGAGAGACAGGAGAGAGAGACATGAGAGAGAACAGAGAGAGAGAGAGCAGAAAGAGAGAACAGACAGAGAGACCAGACAGAGAACAGAGAGAGTGACCAGACAGAGAACAGAGAAACCAGAAAGAGAGACCCCACAGTGACATGAGAGAGACCAGAGAGAGAGACAAGAGAGACCATAGAGAGATCAGCGAGAGACCAGACAGAGAGAGAGAGACCAGACTGAGAGACCAGACACAGAGACCAGAGAGAGAGACCAAAGAGAGATGCTTTTTCTCTTATGAGGTGATCTGGCTGTAATCTTTCCCCCAAACATAGCTGCTAGTTCTGCTCCCATTGTTCTATTGTGTTTCTTCCATGTGCCTCTGCACTGCATGAGGACTTACTTGTGGACAATAGTTTTTTGTCAGGTGCACAACACGAGAAACTTGACTGGCTATAAGGTCTTGTGTTGCAGTCAAAATGGAAAGAATGTATAAATTGGCCAAGAGGGATTTTCTGACCTTACCGTACTGTGGTAACTCTAGGCCAGCCCTCGGCAAAAAAGGCAAGAGACATGTATATTATACTTTGAAAAAAATAAACACACAGATAAAATGATAGCGAGGTGGTATCAATGGGGAGATCAACTATTCCCATGACATTTTGACATAAACTTTTGCACCGCCCCTGGATGAGCTGGAGGAGGTATGTTTGTGGAATGGGAGGTCTGGGCATTTCTCTGCTTAGACAGCTGCCCCCGCAACCCGGCAACGGATAAAGCGGAAGATGATGTTTGGACTTTAGCATCGCAACAAGACTGGTTCGAACTATACACTTTGAAAACACTACAAACAGTATAAGCTATTTTTGCAACAACTGAAGATTAAGAGCCCTTTATTCGTTCCACAGTGCATGGGAAATTTCAGTGTAGCATCTGCAGCTACAGGAGAGTAGAAATGAGGAGCACACGGCACAAGATAAATGAACAATAACCCGAGACTAAAATAGAATAAAGTAAAAAATCTCTTACTCTAGCATGAAGAAGAAACAAGTATTAAATCAGTATCTTTAGCGTAATAAGAAGCAAGTATAAAGTGCTGTCTATTCCAGTGCAAGTAGTATATAGTTGTATGTGTACATCTGCACGTGTTAGCAGCGCAAGTTTATGGGACAGTAACACATGAGGTTCCATATTGCACATTCTGACATTATTGAAATTATTATTGCACTGATTGGCAAAGCAAAGTGACAGCATCATTGTCATGTAAGTATCAGGAAGGGACAGTCTAGGCTCTCGGTGCAAACAAGTCAAGAATAGAGAATAGAACAAGGCGTAATCCGGCATGTTTACATTTGTTTTATACTAATGTTCATTAATGTGCATTGTCCCTATCAAATAAATAAATAATAAAACTTTAAAATAACATGTGGTTTTATATCGCACATTCAGATTTTTTGTTGTATGTAGAACCTAATGTGTAGCTCGTCGTATTTTGTAAGCAGTTAATGCGCGGCCAACCTGTGAAGACATACCCATACGGAAATTCAATATCACTTAATCCACCGGGGAGTGTTTATATTTAGCAGTTCATCTCTTGGATGTTGTTGACTGAGGGAGGCGGCAGCGACTCCCAAGAACACTGTGACAGAGAGGACCTATTGATTCCGCCATAATTGTTTTAAGAGCAATCAACTCATGTTTAGCCGCTCAATGCAGTCTTCATCGCATTTTCTGATTACAGGAGCAAGTGGTTTTTTTATGTTAATGGGGAGACAAAAGCATCACGATTTATTCAGGCAGTGATTGCTCTGGACAACTATCTAGGGACTTCCACTGTACTTTGTGAGCTATACAAGTTACTGGAGAGAACAGTGGTGACCTTGTTTTCCCGGTGTCCTCCCACGCCAGTGTAGGGCGTACAGGTTATTAAGGAGGAAAACACTGCCAGGGTGTCAAACTTATCTCACTTTCATTTAGTACATTATTATGGCTACATTATGTGAGTAACCAAATTATCTATTTTAATTAACTTGAGTTTTAGATGTTTTTTGGATGAAATGGGTACATGCTTGAACTGAACCAATGCCTCTATCATTTCTTGTGTTTGAACTGTTTTATTCTCTAAACTCTGAAGAAGAAATTTAATTTAATTTAATTCAACCAATACAAGACAAAAAGTAAGTTACAGACTAACAGATCAAATATTATGATTAATGAATCCCATTATAGGGTTGGGGGACTATAACTGTCGCCCCAACCCCCATTATAGGGTTGGGGCGACAGTAGCTCAGTTGGTAGAGCATTGGCCTTAAGGCCAGAAGGTCGTGGGTTCAATTCCCACCTCTGCACCTTCTCCATCGACTCCCGCTGATGACTGCTGTCGTTGTGTCCTTGGGCAAGGCACTTAACCCCACTTTGCCCAAAGCCCCCACTGAAAGATCAAGGCTATGCTCACACTCAGAGAGCAGCCGTCCTCCTGTGGACTCACCACCTGCAGAGGGTCAGTGAGGGGATGGTGCTATGAGACTTGGGTGGCATCTCTGACTGCCACCCCCCTGACCCAGAAATGGATTAAAGGGAAGAAAATGGATGGATGGATGCATTATAGGGTTCAAAGTATATAATTAAATATGATGTTTTTTTCTTGAGAACATATTGAAATAATGTATAATATATCTTGATAATATATTTTGACCTTAACCCTAACCTCTATCAAAGTTTGCAAGGTAATAATAAAACATTTCATGATTTCAACTACCCCCTGTAATACCACTATGTTCCTCTAGGGGCCCCTGGTTTGGGAAACACTGACTCACAGCCAGCTCTAAAAACAATAAATACTGAGGCCCATAATATATAGTTTTATCCATCAGGTGTTAAAATTATGGTGTTGATAATTATAATTTCACATTTTCTGGTGGAAACAGGACCTTACATTTCCACTGATCTTTTCTCTAACTCTACGATACCATTCATGAAATTATTGCATGTATGAATACGTATGCATGTATGAAATAATATTGTTTACTGGCTTTCACAGACACCAAAGACCTTTTATGAATTATTTAATGACAATGGGAACAGCAATAATTTATTAATAATTCTTTGGTCAATAATACACAGTGGATATCTCTGTTTAAAAGTCTTCAGTCACTGCACTTTTTAATTTACTGTGATTATTTATGATTTTAATGCCCTGATGGATTGTTTCTATCTTGTTTTGTTGAGTTGCCTTAAGTATGAACTGTGCCATACAAATAAACCTGCCTTGCCTTGGTCCAAATACTCTCTGACATACACCTCTCTCCCATCACTCATTTTAATACTAAGATTTTTTTTTCATATTTCTTTTCAGCTGCTGTAACATCGAGTTCACCCCGGAAAACACACACTTCACAAGACGAGCACAATCGAAGCGCCGGTGACGATGGAGAGCCTCACCGAACTTCAGAACCCACTGCTGGACAAAAGCACTCGTCACGCGGTGCATAATGATTACCAAGGTTACCAGTGCGACTACACGGGACAGCCCTACCAGGACGGCCTCAACGGGTACTACTACACCGGGACTAACGGGAAGCACAAGACCAAGCAGTACCTGGACGCCACCTCTCTGCACGTGGCGGTGGAGGCCTTTTACAAACCGGGATTCATCGTGTGTAAAGACGACGTCAGCCTTCACAGCAAGGACTCCAAGAGCGAGAGCTTCGAGACCACCTTCACCGAGGACAAGGATACGGAGGCGGTCGCCACGGAGATCGTCCTGGACAGCACGCCGGCTACGGAGAACGACGTGAAGATCCAGACTGTGTCCTACGATGTGGAGGAGGAGCATGTGCCAGAGTTTGAGGTGAGGGGAAATGTATCTTTGGGCATAAATGGACAAAAATTAGACTTTTTATGTTGAGTATAAGGGGAAAAAGATTGCACACACAAAACCACAAAACCAATGAAGAGACGATGCAGACGCTTATTTGGTTCCAACACATCCTCGCACACATACACAGGTCCAAACACTCTCTGACCCTGCACCTCTCTCCCATCACTCGTTCTGTGCTGAGGGCATCGCTCATAATAATACTTTGCTTATTTATTTATTTTTCTTTTGATTTATCAAGTAAATTGTTCTAAAAGATTTCGTCAGACTTTTTTTGTTTTGTTTACGGTCAGTCTGTACCTTAGCTTCAGGAGACAACACTCTGGCCCCTGTGGACTCACCACCTGCAGGAGGATCAGTAAGGGGCCACATACTGGTTGCCTCTCTTCTGTCAGTGTGCCCCAGGGCAGCTGTGGCGGCAGTAGTAGTTCATCACTACTGTGTATGGAGTGAAAGAATAATGACATGTGAAGCGTCTTTGAGTGTCCAAAAAAGCGCTTTTGATCTTTCATAATTATGATAATAATAATAATGCATGGGTTTTATACAGTGTTTTTTTGGAGACTCAAAGACGCTTCAATGTCAATTATACACTCACTCCATACACGGTGGTGATGAACTATTACTGTAGCTACAGCTGCCCTGGGGCACACTGACAGAAGTGAGGCAATCAGTATGTGCCATCGACCCCTCCGACCACCACCAACCATTCACAAACACCAGACTTTTAGGTAATATGGGCAAACCAAAGTGTGCCAAAAGACATGTTGTCAGTTTTGCACTTTACAGCCGCAGCCGCCCTGGTGTGGCACTGGGTGTTCCCAGAGGTCTCCCATCACAGTATTAATCACGCTCTGCTCTGCTTATAGCTTCAGAGGTCTGACGGGATCTGGCTTTCACATTAATCTCACGTTAAAGACGTAACATACAGGATCTTTTATGCAGGGGTTCTCAGGAAAAAAATCTGTATATTGTATTAAGCTTTAAGCTTTTAAGCTTTATTTATATACCGCCTTTCACAGACCAGAGTCACAAAGCGGTTTACAATTGTTATTTCAAAAATAATGTTCAAAAACATCCAAATCATTTGTTTGCTTGTCCTCTATATGATACTTTCATAAATCTGTCAATATATATCTACAGAATTGTATGAATTATTTTTGTATACATAAGATAGATAGAACTAAAATATGAAAGCTGCAGTTTGGCTGGAATCACACGCCCACACTGGCAGTATTCCATTTTAATATTGATTTCATACTATTATGGGATTTCAGGGTCTTTTAAGCTTAAACCAAATGCACATTATTCTCTTTCTCTGCCTGACGGGCCGTCAGCATGGATCACTTTTTTTCCATTCTCCACAAACGGTCAATTTGTGCGTATCTTTCAAATTGAGTGCTGGGTAATTGTCCGCTTTCCAGTTCATAATATGTTCAAAGAAATGATTTTTATCTCACCAGGCAGTTGTTCCTTTTAAATCCATAACTACATCCTCCGAGGAGAACTGAGACAGCGAAAGAGCAAAGCCTTTTTCAGAAGTGCTAAAAATCTCATTTCAGACAGGGCCGCTTGTGACATACCTCTCGCTCCTGGCTGGCAGTGGAAGAAGTATATGGCGCCCGCACTGCGATGATGATGCTGTTGCCCCTTGTCACTCGCAGGCCTGTCAGATAGATGGAGACCTGGCAACGTTGGCCATTAAGCCATAAGTATCGCCACGCCTCGAGCAGAGCAGCCGATGAGAGAGGCTGAGGAGGTGCAGCCAGGAGCCAAAGTTATTCTGTGTAAACTTAAGGAGCAAATCAATCTGATAAAGAGTGTTGAGCATTTGTTTGTGTGTGTCTGTTTTGTCTGTGTGTGTTTTGATCAAATGCAGTGTACATTCATTGAAGTGAATGTCCGTTACCTTTTAAATTGTGACAAAATAGAGAATTTCTAGAAAGTTTTGCCCCAAATAGGGAAGTGCTCATGGCTGAAGTTTTGCCCCAACTTGCTATGGCTCCTAGCTTTTATACAAAATCCATGCTTTAGCGCTCTCTATAATCCCGTTTTTTTTTATTTTGATATTGACTTTGTAAATCCAGTAAATACCCTTTTTAGATGCAAAATGTATTTTAAGCCATCATCTCCAAATGTCTACAACGCACGTATTATGCACAAACATCTGTTCTAGTTGTAATAACCTTCTCAGGTAGTGTGAAAAGCGCTATATGAATAAACATGATACCAGAGACATACTTGAAATAACAATGTGAAATGATTAGGAGTATGGTACGTCTCAACTCTACTCGTGTGTATCTCTCTTCTCTCAGTGAAAAAAACTACATATGCATGAATATATAATAAGTGTCTTGTTATCTCCTGACAGAGAAAACAAAACCTGGGAGAGCTCTTCGTAAAGCTGGAATACCTTTGACTTTGAAACCACAAACTGTAAAATGTATAACTAGTTTTTGGATCTCAAAACTGTCTGTATATTTATGGCCTCTGTCGCTGTTTTAGATCCACTTTTTCAGTGACAACGAGCCTTCACTCAGCCTATCAGCTCTCAGTATGTAAAACATGTTTTATAATAATAATATGAAAAGATGTTGTGGTCTCATTTGCCTGCACAATCCATATGCTACCACCAGAAGGAGGTTTGGAACTGTTTTGTGCCCGTGCAGAGACCTGAGAACTGGATTGATGGGATCGTACTTCCTGGTTCTAGTCAGCATGGAGAATCTAATATAGTTAGGGTCAGCTCTAGATCATATACAGAATCAGGACTGGAGTGGAAGTAACAATCCTACTTTCGAATTAGTTTTAGATGAAGTTTTAGGTGTCTGAGTAAGATGGTTAAAGGAGCTATACCCGTTTCTGCAAGGTTTGAATGTTTAGCACCGCCCAATTCTTCACTCTCATTCTCATTTCCCCTTCGCTCTCATCCCACGGAGCCATCTAGGTTTATTTACGATCTGATACATATGCTTACGTTAGCATTAGCACAACTTAAGCTGTACAAAAATCACTATACAAAAGCAACGCACTGCTAACAAAATATATAACTGAAAGATTACCACTAGTTTCACGTCCGAATGTAGTCCGAGCATAGATAGTCCGAGCATAGATAGTCCGAGCATAGATAGTCCGAGCATAGATAGTCCGAGCATAGATAGTCCGAGCATAGATAGTCCGAGCATAGATAGTCCGAGCATAGATAGTCCGAGCATAGATAGTCCGAGCATAGATAGTCCGAGCATAGATAGTCCGAGGCGGTCTCGCAGGTCTCTCCCATAGACTGTAAGTCTCTCCTGAGGATATGGTGTAAGCTAGCTATGTTCACCCGGGCTTGATTTCTTCTTTGATCATTTTTTTGCTTTATTTCCCTCTTCTCTTCCTCACTGTTTCGTCGTTTGGACTGTTTTGCTGTGTCTGCAGTTACAGCAAGAGGAGTTATAGCCACTTTCTGCTAACATGCTACTGTGTTTAGCAGCGCTGTAGAGGCTAGAGGACGCAGCCTCGCTCTAAAAGTCATCTCAGCACTTTGAATGGCCTAAACTCATGCTTATGCTGAATCAATGAGCTCCAGTTTTCAATTAAATTGCAGTTTTTAATACAACTTGTATGTAGTTATACGGATTTGTATTAACTCAATAGAAAAAAAAATGGGTATAGCTTAAGGTTAGGGTTAAGGGAGGGCTGGGGTTATTTTTTGGGAATGGCTGGTTAAGTTTAGGCATGAATAGGTAGTTGGTTATATTTACTTCCGCTTCCGTCCCGATTCCGTATATATGATCTAGTGCTGACCATATAGTTAGAAACTCCAGCTTTAAGAGGACATAGTGGGGTCTACATTGTGTTCGCAGTACCAAACTGAGCAGGAGACAGTCCCTGGATGCTGTCTGTGTCTGGACCAGGAGGGTTGGTCGCTTGGATCCCTCTCTGAAATGCTCTTATCGGCTTTGGCTTTATCAGATGCGCTTGATTACTTTGTTAGTTCCCACTGGCCTCGTCTTGGAGCGCTGGAGGAGTGATAGATTGCCAGATTAAGAAACCTTCTTTTCCCCCTCATAGCCAGTTATGGAAATATACACCATTTAGTAGGCAGGTTAGGGACGAGTATTACTGTTCAAAAATGAGCCATTGCTGTAGGATTTTTGTAAAACCGTACATGGAATTTAGATATCAATAAATGATCATGAGACAACAATGTGATATATAGCAAAAATCAATATGTTGGCACTCGCTTAATTATAGCTCTGTCTGAGTAACCTCTTCTTGGCATGGTCAGGTCTGAGGTATGGTTCAGAAAACGATCGATTGCTAAATGAGTCCAGCTCTATTTCAACAATGTATTAGTTGTGATTAATTGATTATCTTGTTACAGATATATACTAGATCAATAAACAATGTTTTTGTGTTTGAAAAATGTGATGTGGCGTTCTCGTGACTGGTTTCTCACAAATTTAAAACAAAAGTACACAAAATAAATCCCCCTGGCCATTAATAAGGGGCTCTTTCTTGTCAAATCCTTCCCGTTTCCTGCCCCCAGATTGTACTTTAATTACCTTTTTAAAATGGCCGTTTCCTTTTTCTCCTTCTTCCATTGATTTCTGTTTTGTGCTCTTTCTTGTCGCGTGCATTGATTGATCCCCGCAGGCTACAAGAGTAACAAATGAGACCAGCCGGCTTTTTTTGACTATTTATTTAGACAAACATCCGATATTTCCAAGATACGTCCAAGGCCCGTCTTTAAAGGTCACCAGCCCAGGCACAACACACAGTCTGCTTGTCTCCAGATGGCATTTGCGTTTATCATCCATTATCTGGTTTCGCCCCCGTGGCCCTGCTCGCCCCGCTCACCCCTGCAGACACACCGAGCTGCTGTCGGAGCCGGTTTCGCAAGAAGCAGGAGAGACGCTGGAGGTATCTTATTGCACGAGGAGCAATTTAGCACATAAATGACACTGTCTTGTCTTCTGGCTGTTTCGCCCGTCTGCCTGCAATGATGGACCGATCCGATAATCCCGCGTTATCTGTCACTCCGCTCATGCCAGTTGACAGAGCCACCAAATCCACCACGCGAGACCGGCCACATGTTTTCTGGATGTTCTTGGCGAGTTGTTAGATTTGAGAAAAGGTCCTGCTTTAGGGGTGTCAAACTCATTTTGGTTGGGAGCCAAATTTAGAAAAAAATAAAAAAGCGCTTGCTAGCTGATTTATTTTGTTGAATCTTTTTTTTCACATTATGATTCAAACTAATTATCTTAATTTATCATGAGTTTGGATATTCTTTTCTGGTGGATTATTCTGAACAAAACAAGTTGAGTTACTGATTGAACCAATGCAAAACCAAATATAATGTGATATAATTGAAGACTGAACACCTAAATATAAAAAGAAATCAATCATTGGCCTATTTACTTTCTTATTATGTGTTGGCCGAAAATGTTAGGATAAATAAAACGACAAATTAAATTAATTTTAAAGCACTGTTCATACAAAATGCAACTCAAAGTGCTGAAGCAACATTTTACCAATTAAAACACACAGAAAGGATTTTTAATAAACAAGATACAGTGTTAACAGTAATGCCATAGAAGCCTACATCAATGCTGCAATGTAATAATAATAATTGATAATCATGAGTTCCCATGTGTGAGGCAAGGTGAAGGCCCCCTCGTCTCTGTCGATGGTCCGTGCGTCCCCGCTTCCAGATTTTAATTGCCTCTATTGTCCATCTTTACTATTTATGTTCTTCCATTCTTGCATTTTCCCAGTCCAATATATGATTTCTCTTTTCTGCAGTGGTCAGCCATATTTGACCCTGTATATACAGTATACAGTGAAAAATCGGAAGCATGTAGAGTAATTAAGCAGTACAAAGCTTCTTTTTACACTCCTTGTCCTGTTAATGCTTTAGCCGTTTTAGTTTTTTTCTCGAAATGGATTGTGTAATAGACAAACTTAAGAGATAATGAATTAATTAAATCAATAAATGAAAATAAATAGAAAAAAATGATGTATGAATAATGTGTTTAAACTAGGGTTGTCCAAATTATCGCGTTAACGCACGTTCATTAATTTTTTTCATCAATCGCGTTTAAAAAATTAACGCAATTAACGCATGTCCACGCATCCCATAATAACACTCAGAATGCTTCGGACATGCGTGTGTTGGTGACAGAGCAGGTCTCTGGAACATGATCATAACATGATCGTAACATGATCATATTCAAGACCACGCACAGATGTGCGTGTCTTTGCTTAACCGGTGCACACAAAAAATACAGCACTGAAGCTGGACAACGGAGCCTCAGTCTCTTCCATGTCTTCTCCCGAAGCGCACTCGCTAAATTAAAGCGGGGGTACCTAATTTTCCCTTCCACTACCAGTTCATGACAGATTTAATGACATTCTGTATTTCAGACTGTTTTGAAATGTCCCTCATCTGTAACAAACAATAGTTTTGGTCTGAGTCTAAACAGAATGTTAATGATGTTAATGCCATTTTATGTGGATTTATTGTTATAATGAACAAATACAGTACATATGTACACTATGTTGGCATGTATCTTTCCATTCAAACACCCATTTACAGAAAAATGTATATATGTATATATATCATTTTGTCGATAGTTTGAAATGTGATTAATTACGATTAATTAATTTTTAAGCTGTAATTAACTCGATTAAAAATTGTAATCGTTTGACAGCCCTAATTTAAACGCTTGTGGGAAGTCAAGTTTCTGTATAGACAGTGTCCTGGATTTATGGGTTTGTGTAGCTCTTCTGCTAAGGGTTAACACAGTGATTCCCAAAGTGGGGGGCGCAATTGCAATGAGGGGGGGTTGCGGGACGAATGAATGAACGAAAATACAGTAGGCAATATAACACTGCTAGCATAAGATGGACACATTTTTGACACATTACAATCTGCAGTTGGGGGGGTTGGGAATCACTGGGTGTTAACAGAACCTTCTGAGCACTGACCATAGGAACTGTCTGTTGTGTGTTTCCCCTTATGACCAAACCCACTGATTTCCCCTTATCTCTGCTGTCTTTCAGAGTGACAGCTCCAGTGATAGCGAGAGTGAGGATAACTTCATTGTCCTACCCCCGCGGGACTACCTGGGTCTCGCCATCTTCTCCATGCTCTGCTGCTTCTGGCCCCTGGGCATTGTTGCCTTTTACTACTCTCACAAGGTAAGGGCTGCTTCATGTATACGTATTTCCAGCCTGACATTAGCTCTGATTATTCCACATTATTTTTAAGGTCAGCAATTACCGAGAAGCTCAGAATTAACGCAATCTTTTTTTTTTTTTCCACATGTCAAATCTGTGTTTTTTCACATCACCAGTTCAGGATTTATATTACACAGCCCTTTGTGTTATGTTTCCAGCGAATAGTAATGAGAGCTCTGAGAGTATAGCATTTATTATAAAACTGCCAGTGTATTTTGACAGTAACGTGCTCCGTATCGGTGCACTTCATATGTAAATATAGCCACAACTTGCCTCGTAATTATGCGAAAGAAAATGATACTGGGAAAAAATAACAGGTCTGAGAAATGCATGAATAAAAGACCAGGCTCATTTTTTGATGGGAAACCATAACACCCAAACAACACATTTTTCAATGTCGGCCGAGTTAGACCTAATTGCTATGGTAACTAATGGTTCCCTGAGAGCATTTCTTGTTTTTGCTCTTTAAACCACAGCTTACACCTACTCAACACTCAGAAATGATGAGTAACACTGGCTTATTTCCCCTCTCTCTCTTTTCTGTGTGCTTTGTTTTTGTCAGACCGGCAAGGCCATTTCAAAGGGAGACTTCTCCAGAGCCGGAATGAGCTCCAGAAGAACTCTATTCCTGGCCGCTCTCTCTGTCACGGTGGGAACGGGGATGTACGTGGGTGTGGTCGTGGCCCTCATCGCCTACCTGTCCAAACCTGGCCACGTATAGCGCCGCGACCACGGGACACGCTCGGACAGACATACGGCAGAACTGTGGCACACCCGTTACTTGTCGTCACGTGGGGACTGCTGACTGTGTTGGACGGAACTTAAATTATATCTTTATCTCAAGTGAATCATGGTTGATGTGGCACAGCCCGCCCACAGAAATACTCCACCGACAGAAGAGGAGGAGAGAGCTCGAAAGACTTCAGACTGTGAGATCCTTGTATGGATTTACCACCTACCTAGCTTGTACCCAAACACAATACATAAAGCTAATCTCTGTCAGTACGGCTACAGATTGTGTATCGTGGGGCTGTAACTAAAGCTAATCCATCAATCGCAACTCATTGATAGAACTAATTTCAGTAATTGATTATGTAAGGTTAAAAAAAAAAACTATAGACTTAAAGGGACAGTATGTAATATGCACAACTAGTGGTCTGGTTTAGTAATTACAGTTCCAATAACACTTTAAATGCCAGAATCTTCCTGCCTGTGACACATGTAGCTCCTAAGAACAGATTACTGATGCAATCCACCTGCTGGGGATTACTAAAAACCAAACAAACTTTATGTATTATGACTGCTTATTTTTGTATCTGCTTTCCGTTTAACAATTTCGGGGTGCTATTTTTTGTTTGTGCCAAAACCAGTTCAATTTCGGCTATAAACAGGCAATCCAAATGAGACACACTCTCTGATTGGATGATCTGCTTATCTGTATTTTTAATGAAGAATAAGTCCACTCCAAGGTTTCATAGGATGTGTGCATGTGACCTGTTATCTAGGGACACATAAAAATAGATATAGATGTAATTAATATCGTTACATACGGTCCCTTTAAACATGTTGAGACGAGGTTTTTACGACTGAGAGAAATCTATAATGCAGAATGAAATGAAAGTGTGTTAACAAAGTATTTTCAACAACCCAATAAGCTTTGTTTTGGTCAATTGTATTAAAAACCCCATATTCTCTGAACTTTTGGATGTAAACTAAACGAATCGACTAATCAGACAACCAATCAAGTATCGAAATAATGGTTAATTACAGCCCTAGTGTATGATCATTCACTTTGTAATTCTCATTCGGAACACACTTTTTATGCAGTGGAAAATGGCTATTTAAATGGACATCCACAGAAGCCAGTGCACACAAAAGCTCTGTACAAAGTGTTCCAGGAGACTTCATTGAGTTTATTGTGTTCTGTAATATACAAAAGTCAATAAATTCATCCGGCACTTGTTTTGTTTTTTTCTCTTAAAAAAAAAATAACACTCATAATTCATACGCAGGACAACCCCAGGCGGGTTTTAAGACAGAATGCAAATATAGACAGAAAATATTAAAATAAAAAAAAATTGGTTTGATTCCACACCTTTAGGCCTTTCTGTGTGGAGTTTGCATGTTCTCCCTGCGTCTGTGTAGGTTCCCTCCAGGTGCTCCGGTTTCCCCTAGCACTAAAAACATGCACAATAGGTATGAATGTAATGAGTGAGTGAAAGGATGGTGTTGTTTTTGGGGCTTTGATGCAACAGTGTGTTGGACGTCTCGCTCCCGACATCACCGTGTGTCTAAACTTGGTCTGTAAAAATGCGCCATATGAATAAACATTACTTACTTAGATAAAAATTCTAAAAAAGAATACAGGAACTGGGGAGACCAAGACAGTGGGTTGACTGTGAGAGACTGTAGGTTGCTCTCATAGAAGTTGAAGGCCTGAAGAGAAGAAAAAGAAGGCAAACACATTTATACAGCGCTTTTAGGGGCTAGAATTCCCCCTGAGAAAGACATCATGAAGTCGGAATTACCTGGATCATCCCTTTGACATTCACTCCTTGAAGAAAGCAATGTCATTTTTTTCTTTTTTTGTCTAACATGTAGGAGCACTAATAACACCACTTTTCTTTTTTTTTTATAAAGGTCGACACTAAATGGTTGAGATGCAGTTTGATCATAAAAGGCCCTATAACCAAGTGATAGAGATTCCCCGATGAGGTAGATTTCAGTTCCAAGCTTTAATGGAGCAGTATGTAAAAATCTGGCCAGAAGTGGTACTGCAACCTCTCCCACTCTCCTTGACACAGGTTGCCAGATATGCAGACAAATCCAGCTGGGAACATAATATCTGAATAGACAAGAGTTTTGTCATCAACAAATCTATAACTGACACCTTTTTCACGAAGGCCCCAATAGAAATTCTGGTTTTATTCTTGGTTTAGTTGTTAACGGTTTGAGAATCATTACGAGACCTTTTTTAGTTCTGCAGCCGTAGTTACTTTACCTGTGAGAATAGCTCGACCCCGAGAGTTCTGGCAACCCCTAATTGGTAAAACAGTGGAGGGCGGGACATTGAAATCAAAATAGTAATAAGATTTAGGGGCTGTAAAACTAATTTTTACTAATTCAAATATCTCTGAACTACTGTTATCAGTTAAAGAAGTATTCAAAAAGAGAATGATTTAGGAATGCCTTTTGACAGATTAGGGCCTTTTAATGTCAACAAACAAGAGATCGGACCACCACCCCCTTTTCCTTTACCATTTAATTTTATGTAGATTGTGCATCCTCTGCCCCTTCACTTGTGGCGGAGATGGCTGTCATTGTCAAACTAAATGCTTTCTCCGCATCTATTGTTGTGTGCTCCGTCGGCATCGCTCACTGGTCTATCTCAAGGTGACTTTATCTGCCAGAGGTAACAATGGCGGCCAGGATGTCAGAAGGAGGTGACAGCAGTGTAGTTTCGCCCGCAGGACATGGACGCTCCATTGAGTGCTTATATTCTTCTGCCCCCGCTGGTCCTGCTTTCAGCGAGTTTGTCTCAGCAGGTTCTCAGCAGAGCGGCCTGGTCCTCTCTGCTGCCTTCAGGGGAAAGTCCTTAAACAGTGTCAGTGTGGGAGCTTTCCATGGTGCAGGTGTTCTAAAAATAGATTAGTTCTAAAGTTGGATGGAGGATTTCTCGCTTGCTCTCTCTGTCTGTCTCTAGTCCATGGCTGGGAGTGCTCGTTCACATTTACTTGAGTTGAGTTACTTTTGAAAAAAATTATGATACCTTTGGAAGTAACAAAAACACAACAAAAACATGGACTTATAGGTCATTTTGATTGGGGGCCAAGTTAAAAACTATAAAAGCTGTTTGGGGCCAAAAGTATAACAGTGGTTTTCAGTTTCGGTTTCAGTTTAGTTTATTTCAAAGGGGACAATGCAATTTAATAAAACACATGATTAAACATGGGTTAAAAAAGCCAGAATTAGCCATGGAGGCTATTTTTCATCTGTAGTCCCCTGGCCGTGATGTTGAAAAGCCATTAGGCCATTTTCTTTCATTATCATCATTTTATATATCATCCATCCATCCATCCATTTTCTTCCCTTTAATCCATTTCTGGGTCAGGGGGGTGGCAGTCAGAGATGCCACCCAAGTCTCATAGCACCAGCCCCTCACTGACCCTCTGCAGGTGGTGAGTCCACAGGAGGACGGCTGCTCTCTGAGTGTGAGCATAGCCTTGATCTTTCAGTGGGGGCTTTGGGCAAAGTGGGGTTAAGTGTCTTGCCCAAGGACACAACGACAGCAGTCATCAGTGGGAGTCAGTGGAGAAGGTGTAGAGGTGGGAATTGAACCCACAACCTTCTACTGCTACTGTCACATTTTATATATCATTATCATTTTATTTATTTTTTGTTTAAATATTGTAGTATTTTGACAAATGAATTCTATTTAACATGAGTTTGGATAATATTTTCTTGTAGGTTTGTCACAACTGTGCCAATTATCAAAGACTACAAAAATCTTGTGGGGCGGATTTTGTGGTTTGTGGAGACCAGGAGTCTCCACTCTTTTTCAGAGAGCTACTTTTATACAACAGAAGAGGCAGAGAGCTACTTCCTTTTGCAGACACAATAAAAATGAGCCATATAAGGATTGGCCAATCAGATACGTTAATTTGTGGGGGAAACTCAAGCTTTCTTCTGGAACCGTCTCAGCATCATGTCTGCCCTTGTTATGCAGCCAAGTTAATGCCATTGAAAAAGAAATGCCCATATAAGGAAACTGGCTACAGCTGGCTAAGGTTAAAATCGGCTTCTTCTGCTTTAAAGCTAACACTACGGTAGCGTCAGCACTCGGTCAGTCCACACATACTTAAACCTGCAGTACCCAACTTGTATTTATGGATTTAGAAAAACTATATACAACGCACCATCAAATCTTGTAAACAAAAAACACTTAACGGTACTCTGTGTAATTTCTACAGTTCGTCCAAATGAAAAAAACAAACGCGACCTTTTTTTAAAATATTTACCTCCACAATTTTTTTTTTATTGTTGTCATTTGACTTATTAATGTCCATGAGGCTGGAGGACTCTACATGTCAATGCGCCATCTTGAAATAAAGTGGTTGATAAGGAACAAAGAGGAGTTTGACCGGAGTTGGGGACCACTGTCAAAGACGACCTGTGTCCAGTGAAGCTGCCGTAGTACCATAAATTACAGTATATGATGGATTGAGCGACATTATTTTTTGTACAAACGGGCTCTAGCAAAAGGTACTGCATACAAAACAAAACAGATAAGTATAGAGAGCATACTGTTGGATGGTTGGCCTCGCTCACTTAATGACCATGTTTAGCAGGTGAAAAGTGCTGTTCTCAGGAGCTCTACATCTGAAGTGGTTCCAGTGAGTGGAGCTTCCTGTGATTCCTGCAGCGAAAACCCACGCTCATGCTATTTCACCAAGATACAGACTCAAAACTGCACATTCACCCTCATTAGCAAGTTTAGAATAACACCACCAACGAAGTTTAAAGAGGTCTGCGGTTACAAAATACAATTGGTTTCCTTTACTTTTAACACCGTAGTTGGAATAGTGTGTAATTCTACATTTAAAATCTGTGTGACAAGTCCAAATTGTTCACTCAATTCTTTAATGTCCAACTCAAAATCTCAACTGCAGCTGTCTATGGGACTTTACAACATTGTATAATTAAAAGAGTAAATTCTGCTTC